GTAGTAGTAGTAGTAGTTAGTAGTCGTAGTAGTAGTAGTAGTAGTAGTAGTAGTAGTAGTAGTAGTAGTAGTAGTATAGTAGTAGTAGTAGTAGTAGTAGTAGTAGGTCGTAGTAGTGGTAGTAGTAGTAGTAGTAGGAGTAGTTGTAATAGCCGAGGTAGCCGTAATGGTAGTATTCTTAATTGCGAGGAAGCCTCAAGCGGGAGACGTTGTTGTTGTAACCCGGGGGCCAGGGGCCCAGCTTGAGCCTCAAGACTTTTTCCTGCTAAAAAACTGGGTGCGAGCGCTGGGAAGGGCACTTCACTTGAAAAAGAAGCATCGTCAGAAATGAAGGCTCAACAACAACAAAAACAAAAACAACAACGACGACGACGACGACGACGACGACGACGACGGCGGCAACAACAACAAAAGACACAAAGAAACAGAAAAAACTGTAAATCATGTTGTCCCACGCGACCGCGCAACAGCTTCGCCCCGACGGCAAGGCACGCGGCGGACGAGTAGTCGGGCCTCCCCGCCGGCTCGAGCTTCTCTGGTCGCGGGACCCCGTTGACCTCTTGACGCCTTCCCAAGGGCCGGCCTCTCGCCCCCGCTCGCTGCATGACCGACAAGACGGACTCCCAATCAAATGACGCGATCTGAGCGAGACTGTCAGCGTGGCCTGGTTCTCTGCAAAAACCGAGCTCACTCGGAATCCTCGCACGAGTGTAGTCAGCTCTCTCTCTCTGGTCGGTGATGGCGTCGAGCTTCTGCGCGTGCAATTCCCAGGCCGCCTGTTCCGAACCCCAACGTTGTCTCCCTCCTTGCGTATCTGATTTGCTGCTACCATGAATATCTGAGCGCAGGCGGGGCCCATGTGAAACTCGAGAAGTGGCGCCTGCGGGCCCTTTGCGTGGGCCCCCCTGGCGGTCGCTGCGGCGGTCGCGCATGCTCGCCCCGCCTGGAAGGCGACCTTAGCCACCGCGCTGTCCTCGGGAAGCAGGAAGGTCAGGAACTCCGCCGCCGTGGAAAGCCGCAGCTGGAAGGTGCCCCCTCCGACAGCCTTGGCGAGGATTGGCATCAGTCGGGCCATCAACTGCACCCCTACGCAAGGAAGCTTCTTCAGCGCGTCGGGAACCAGACCGCACTGCTTGTTGAGAGCCGCCTTGGCGTTTTGGGCTCCTCCAGCCGCCGAGCCCGCCGCCGCGCAGGCTGCCTGGGCGGCAGCAGGCGCGCGTTGGAGCTGGCTGGGGCCTCTGCGTCGTCCGCCACGCTGGCGGGAACCAGCGGTCGATCCACTGCGGTCGCGCTGCCGCGGGGGCCCTCCCCCTCTGCCCTCTGGCCGACAGCGCTCCTGCTCGAGCTACTCGGAGGTCTATCTGAACATGTCGAGACGCGAGGGGTTCTTCCTCCGGGAAAAGGGTTCGTTTTCCGGGAAAAGGGTTCGTTCTCCGGGTGTACTACCGAATCCTTGTAGATTCCCGAGGGTATTTCGGATAGGGTTCGTTCCCGGGGTGAGACCTCATCGAGGATCCTCACACTTCTGCCAAAACTAATTTTCGCAAATCGCAATGAGCTGCCCTTAAGGCGCCACAGAGATGTCACATCAGTCTGGCTTCTTCTGCCCGGGGAAGGAACTCTTCTTGGTAAGACCACTAAACTACATGTCGACCAAGTTGGTAGCAGTTCGTAGCTAGCAGCTCGCAGTTAGGAGTTAGTATACCACACGTAGTAATTAGCATTTAGCAACGAATAGTGGTCCGAGCGTAATTATCATTCTCTTATTAGTAGCTCGTCGTGTGCAATAAGTGATGAAAAAATGGTAGCTGTAGGTTGTACGTAGTCGTTGGTAGCTAGTGGTTCGTAGTCAGTCCTTAGTAGTGGTAGTAGTGGACGTAGTAGTAGTAGTCGTCGTCAAAGTAGTAGTAGTATTAGTAGTAGTAGTAGTAGTAGTTGTTGTTGTGGTAGTAGTAGTAGTAGTAGTAGGATGAGTAGTAGAAATACTAATAGTTGGTATTGAGTAAGTGGTTGTTAGTAGTAGCAGTAACAGTAGTAGTAGTAGTAGTAGTAGTAGTCGTAGTAGTAGTAGTAGTAGTAGTAGTAGTAGTACTAGTAGTAGTAGTAGTAATACAAATAATAGTAGTGAGAGTAGTAGGTGGTAGTAGTAGTAGTAGTAGTAGTAGTAGTAGTAGTAATAGTAGTAGTAGTCGTCGTAGTAGTAGTAGTAGTAGTAGTGGTCGTAATGGTAGCCGTAGTAGTAGAAGTGGTAGTAGTAGTTGTAGAATTAGTAACAATAGTAGTAGTAGTAGTAGTAGTAGCAGCAGCACTAGTAGTAGTAGTAGTAGTAGTAGTAGTAGTAATAGTAGTAGTAGTAGTAGTAGTAATAGTAGTAGTAGTAGTAGTAGTAGTAGTAGTGGTAGTAAGTTCAATCGTTGTCGTAGTCGTAGTCGTAGTAATAGTAATAATAATACGAAGAGCAGTGGTAGCAGTAATAGTAATAGGCGTAGCAGTAGTAGTGGCGGTGGTGGTGGTAGTCGTACCAGTATATGTAGAAGTAGAAGTGCTGATGGCAGTAGTAGTAGCAGCAGCAATAGTAGTTGTAGTAGTCGTAGTGGTGGCTGTACTAGTAGTAGTAGTAGTAGTAGTAGTAGTAGTAGTAGTAGTAGTAGTAGTGGTGGTGGTGGTGGTGGTGGTGGTGGTGGTGGTGGTGGTGGTGGCGGTTGTGGTGGTGGTCGTAGCAGCAGTAGTAGTCGTCGTTGTAGTAGTAGTAGTAGTAGTAGTAGTAGTAGTCGTCGTAGTAGTGGTAGTAGTAGTAGGAGTAGTTGTAATAGCCGAGGTAGCCGTAATGGTAGTATTCTTAATTGCGAGGAAGTCTCAAGCGGGAGACGTTGTTGTTGTAACCCGGGGGCCAGGGGCCCAGTTTGAGCCTCAAGACTTTTTCCTGCTAAAAAACTGGGTGCGAGCGCTGGGAGGGGCACTTCAATTGAAAAAGAAGCAGTATGCACAAGTGGGGGGGGATCAACAATAATTATTCGTCAGAAATGAGAGTTCAACAACACCAAAAACAAAAACAACAACGACGACGACGACGGCGGCAACAACAACAAAAGATACAAAGAGACAAAAAAAACTGTAAATCATGTTGTCCCACGTGACCGCGCAACAGCTTCGCGCCGACGGCAAGGCACGCGGCGGACGAATAGTCGGGCCTCCCCGCCGGCTCGAGCTTCTCTGGTCGCGGGCCCCCGTTGACCTCTTGACGCCTTCCCAAGGGCCGGCCTCTCGCCCCCGCTCGCTGCATGACCGACAAGACGGACTCCAGAGACCGAAGATGGCGGCAGACTCTGGGCGGTGCCGCTCTCCGAGTAGCCAGAATCTGGGGATCTCAGGGCGACTGCAAGTCAAAGAACTTTTTCCCGGCAGTCAGCACACCAGCCAAGCGACGATGACTCAACGAGCTCTCAGATTGCAAACCGCCAGGGCAATGCTGCCCCGCAGCATGCATCGGAAGAGCGCCTGGCCAGCAACGCAGACGACGCAGGGAGGAGGCGGCAGAGGAGGGAGGAGGAGACAAGGAGCGGGCAGCGGGCAAATCCGGGAACGCACTGCACTGCGGCTGTCGTCAGGAGAGAAAGGAGAAGGAGCACCAGTGGCAGCACGAGCGTCGGGCCGGTGCCCCACGAGGCCCTTCCTCTTCCCTCATCCTTCCGAATCATCCTCCCTCCATACATCTCCCACCTCCCCTCCTTTACGTCGTGTTACTGCTGTTCTTCATCTTCATCATATCCCTCCCCCGATCTCCCCCCCTCCCTCCGCCTTATTCCTCATCCAGCCTCCTCGGTCCGACCTCCTCCCTCCCACATCCCCCTAATCGTCCTCATCCTCCTTATCCTCATCGTCATTACCATTGTCCTCTTCTTCCTCATCCTCCTCCTCACCCTCCACCACCACCACCACTATCAGCATCTTGAATACCATCACCAGCATCGCCACAATCAGCATCGTCATCATCATCATCATCATCATCATCATCATCATCATCAGCAGCAGCAGCAGCAGCAGCAGCACCACCAGCGCCGTCATCATCAACAGCAGCAGCAGAATCATCAGCAGCATCAGCACCAGCACCAGCACCAGCATCAGCATCATCTTCATCAGCATCAGCATCACCATGATTACCATCATCTTAGTATGCATCGGCATCAGCATCGTCATCCAAATCGGCATCAGCATCAGCATCATAATCATCATGAGCAGCAGCATACTCATCATCATCATGATCAGCATCATCCTCATCACCAACATCGTCATCAGCAGCATCATCATCACCCCCATCCACATCCTCATCCTGATCATCATCAGCAGCAGTTCCATCACTACTCATCAGCATCATCCTCTGGGCGGCCTGCTGGTCACTATTCAAGTTGGAGGAATAAAGTGTTGCAGCTGTTATTGCGCAGCGACGCGGTTTGAGGGGATGGCGATCTCATGTTGGAGCTGCATTGGTCGTCTTGCGGAGCTTGAGGTTGCTCGATGATCGGTGGAGTGGAGTTCTGGCCGTACCAAAGTTCCTTCGCCTCTGCTCAGCGGGTTTCTATTTAGGCGCTGGCGAAGTATTCATCCGACGTTTCGGCGCTCGTTGCTCCCAAGGCTCAAATGTCCACCTGTGCTTCGTGCACGGGTGGTTCGTCCATACCGTGGGCAAGCTCAGGGGTGGCTTGCGTTGCGATACCAACTCGCTGCGACTGGTGTCATCTCAACTCGTATCCCTCCATCCATCCCTGGAGGGGCAAAGTCCCCGACGCAAGCGTGATTTGGAATACATTGCGAAGACGAAGTATGTGGACGGGGGAGGGAAGATCGGCGACAGGCCCCCGATGACGAACCCGCACAGTCCTGGGCGCGGTGGGCTATCGCGCCCCCATCGGCGATGAGTGGGCGATCGCGGGTCGATACATCCCCCCTTGAACCGACCCCCCCCCCCTTACCATTGCCCCTGATCCCTCCCGCCCTCCCTGCCCCTCGCCTTCCTGCTGCCCCTGGAGCAGCAGCATCGGCGCCCGCGGGGATGGAACAGCTCGTTAGTCCCGGAAGCGCGTTCCTACCCCTTCCCAGCGCGTGGCTGGGAAACCTCTGCGCGGCCCCAGCGAAGCGCTTCCTGAGCTCCCGCGCAGCCCCTGGGCAGCTCCTGAGCAGCGGCTGCTAGGCTCGCGGGCAGCGCCTGGGCAGCTCCGGAGCAGCGCTTGACGGGGGGAAGACGGCTCGGCCTGCGCCCCACAGGGCCTTCCTCTTCTCCCGCTCCAGCTCCCGCGTCGCCTGCGCCGACAAGCGCACCTCGCGGGCGCGCGGCCGCCAGTCGTCGTCCTCGTCGCCGTCGTCGTGGGAGTCTTCAGAACCTCGAGCATCGTCGTCGGGGCCGTTGTCGTCGCCTGAGCGGGGGGGGGGGGCAGGGGATTCTGACGGGGGGGAGGAGGATGGGGGGGGAGGGGGAGGAGGAGAAGGAGGAGGAAGAGGAGGAGGAGGAGGAGGACGAGGACGAGAGGAGGAGAGGGGAGAAGGAGGAGGAGTAGGAGGAACAAAAAAAACAAGAGGAGGAAGATGATGATGATGATGATGATGAGGATGATGAATGATGATGATGATGATGATGATGATGATGATGAGGATGAGGATGATGATGATGATGATGATGATGATGATGATGATGATGATGCTGATGATGATGATGATGATGAGGAGGAGGAGGAGGAGGAGGAGGAGGAGGAGGAGGAGGGGGAGGAGGAGGAGGAGGAGGAGGAGGAGGAGAGAAAAGAAGGAGGAGGAGGAGAAAGGAAGAGGAGGAGGAAACACAGCGCCACGCGTAAGGCTTGTTCGACCTCGGAAACTCCGCACCCCGCACGGCGGGGAATGAGTGGGCGGAAGCCCCTTTATTTAATAACCTCGCAAGTGAAGCAGCACAGGAAGACGAAGGGAAAGCGGAGCGAGTAGCCGTGCACGTACCCGCAGACCGCGAGGCAGACGAGCCGTCGGCGCCGCCTGGGGGGCCAGTCGTACCAAAACCACACGGGGGCCGAGTTGTACCAGCGTCGCCCTTCGGGGTTGACTCGGGGCAACCCTGGCGCAAAACCCGAAGCGCACCCAATTCGCCAGACAGCGCGTTTCCGCAAGCCGCGGGGAAGAATGCAGGATGGGGAAGAACAGGTAGAGAAGAAGCGTGATAAAAAGGCGGAGGTATGGCAGACCAGCCAAATTTCATTGAATTATATCATCTGAAAGCTTCCCAATTAGAACTAACCAGTCAATCATAGGTGGCTCAGAGGGCACGCCATGGTGGCCCAACGACTCGAGCACCTCCAGACGCTCGAAAACCTCGGCCCCAGCAGCGATCTCATCGAACTTGGCGTAGCTAAGTGGCAGGACGTCGATATCGCGGCCCTGGAGGTGGATAAAGGAGCAGCCCTGTCCGTCGCATGCCCTGCCGAACCTGCGCGCCGTAGACGGACCGGGCAGCGGCAAGCCCACCCGCAAAGCTGCCAGCTGTGCGCCGAGCCGCCTGTACTACCTCTATGCGATCGGAAAACGTGCTGACTTCTGCACGCAGGCAGCTGGTCAACTCCTGGACCGTGGAGAGCTGCTGGAGCAGGCTTTCGTTGGCGCCCTGAATATCCTCTTCCAGCCACTTGTCCCCAAGTGAACACAGATCCATTATCTTCCAGAGACGTTCCTCCACAGTAGGAAGCAGAAGTTTCAGCAGACTCGGAGGCGCCGTCTCCGCGATGGTCGGCAGCACGGCCTGGACCATCCCGCCGAGCGCGCTGGCAAGCCCGCGCCCGAGCTCTGAAACAGCAGAAAAGACAGAGGATGAAATATTTGCGTCGATGGCGCCCGCCATCTCGTCCAACCGCCTCTGACTGGAAGCAGCGGTCTCGTCCAACGCCACATTAGACGCAGAGTCGTTCGAAGAACCATCTGACGAGGCTCCGTCGTCCACCCTATCCCTGACTGAGTGCCCCTCGGGAGCCTCGGCACGATGACCACCAGCATCGCCCACCGAGGAAGCGAACTGTTCGAGATCGCCTTTGAGAAGCGCAATCGCGTCGTCCATGTCTTCTCTCAAAGTTTGGCAATTAGCGAGCTGTTCGCCATAAGCACGCTGCGATTCAGCGAGCACATCAGGGATTGACGTCGCGAGCATGGCGGACGGGGCGAACACCGTTGCCTCTGCTCAAAGAGCGTGCTCAAACTCTGTCGCCGAGGAGACCCAGCGAAGCGAGGCGCACAGTCAGGACGACCATTCATAATGACATCCGCGTTCTCGGGAAAAGCCTCACCGAGCTCCCGCAGCAATGTGTCCACAAATTCGTCAGCCCATGGGTCGGTGTAGTGCTGCCAAAACGGGAATGCTGCACCGAGATCGCGCCCCCTACGCCTCGTCGGTGACGAGAAAGCCCGACGGCGCGAATGAACAGCAACATGAAGCCCGAAAACTGCTGGCCCGAAGCAGCGGCGAAGAGCAGCAAAGATTTGCCAGCAAGTGTAGATACCAGTCTGGAAGCCCCGTCCACCGCGGGCGAAGACGAAACAAATAGAGAAATGACAGATGCAACACTAAGGAAATCGCAAGAGAGAGCAAGCTTGGGAGCCAAAACTAAAAGAAAACCCGTCTTGCGCCACAGTGGCTACGGCAGAGGAGGAGGAGAGAAAAAAGGAGGAGGAGAGAAGAGGAGGAGGAGGCCACGTCGGGAAGTCGCCCCGCGCCCAGAGAGCGGGCCGGCAGGACCCCCGCAGCGGCGACGAGCGCGGCGCCCGGCCCGCGCGATGGCCGGCGCCCGCGGCTCCCGTGCAGCGCACCAGCAGGCGCCTTGCGGCCGCCTGGCGGCCGCCTGCGGCAGGGGGCCTCGTCGCACCCCGCCCGCCCAGAGAGCCGCAGGCCCGCGGCGGCGGCCGCCACCCCCAGCGCGCACGTCAAGAGGCCTGCCCAGTGTCCACGACTCCAGCTCGCGAACGTTTGCTCATTCTCGGCGTGTCGGCATTGGGCTTCAGGACGTCGGAGGGGTTCGGGATGTGTCTGTGGGGGAGGAAGGAGACGAGGCTGCAGGCGTGACCGCCGCCCACAGCAGCCCAAGAGCCCAGGGTGCGACCGCTGCCGCGGACGCCACCCCTCCCAAAGAGTGAACGTTTCCTTATTCGGCGTTTTCGACATTGGGCGGAAAGGGGGAGAGAGGGGGGGGGGGCATCTGGCTCTGGACCTCTGCTTAGCGCGACTGTTTGCAACAGCGCGTCCTGTGGGGGAGACTCCACCTGCCTGAAACAGACGCCAAAAACAGCCAAGTATCTACTCCATGGGGGGGGAGGAGGAGGGGTGCGAGGGCCCGCGCCGATCCGCAAAACACTGAATGAAAAAAATACCACCTCCCTCGGCCTGTGCTGCTTCGAGGGCTGCCCAAGCAGCGCCACGGCCAGCTTGGGCCAGATGTCGTGCGACGTGCACGACGGCTCCAGTGGCAACCAGTACCAGAACCCCACCGTGGACTGCGAGACGCACAAGTTGCGCAAGTGCGGCTCCTTGCACTACGACGACGGCGACGATGGCGCTTTCGATCCCTATGAGGGCTGCAGCACCACGACCGGCTGGAACTAGCCGTGGTGCTACGTGCAGGGCGGCACCAAGCGCAACGAGTGCAAGAACTCCACCGTAGATTGCGAGACGCGCAAGTTTCGCAAGTGCGGTTCCCTACACTACGATAGCAACGACGACTGCTATTTCAGGTCCTACCAGGGCTGCCGCGCCACGGCCGACTGGGACCAGACGTGATGCTACGTGCAGAGCGGTACCAAGCGCGGTGAATTGCGAAACGCGCAGGTTGCGCAAGTGCGGTTCCTTGCACTACGATAGCGACGACGGCTGCTTTTCGAGCCCTACCAGGGCTGCAGCGCCACGGCCCACTGGGACCAGACGTGGTGATACGTGCAGAGCGGTACCAAGCGCCGTGAATTGCGAGACGCGCAAGTTGCGCAAGTGCGGCTCCTTGCGCTACAATAGCGACGACGACTGCTTTTTCGGGCCCTACCAGGGCTGCAGCGCTACGGCCCACTGGGACCAGACGTCGTGCGACGTGCAGCGCGGTACCAAGCGCCGTGGATTGCGAGACGCGCAAGTTTCGCAAGTGCGGCTCCTTGCGCTACGATAGCGACGACGACTGCATTTCGGGCCCTACCAGGGCTGCAGCGCCAAGGCCGACTGGGACCAGACGTGGTGCTACGTGCAGAGCGGTACCAAGCGCCGTGAGTTGCGAGACGCGCAAGTTGCGCAAGTGCGGTTCCTTGCACTACGATAGCGACGACGACTGCTTTTTCGGGCCCTGCCAGGGCTGCAGCACTACTGCCGACTGGGACCAGACGTGGTGGGTGAAACGCGCAAGTTTCACAAGTGCGGCTCCTTGAGATACGATAGCGACGACAATGCGATTGCGTTGTCGAGCCTGGGCTGCAGCGCCACGGCCGACTGGGACCAGACGTCGTGCTACGTGCAGAGCGGTACCAAGCGTCGTGAATTGCGAGGCGCGCAAGTTCGCAAGTGCGGTTCCCTGCACTACGATAGCGACGACGACTGCTTTTTCGGGACCTACCAGGGCTGCAGCGCTACGGCCGACTGGGACCAGACGTCGTGCGACGTGCAGCGCGGTACCAAGCGCCGTGGATTGCGAGACGCGCAAGTTGCGCGAGTAGGGCTGCAGCGCCACGGCCGACTGGGACCAGACGTCGTGCGAAGTGCAGCGCGGTACCAAGCGCCGTGGATTGCGAGACGCGCAAGTTTCGCAAGTGCGGCTCCTTGCGCTGCGATAGCGACGACGACCGCATTTCGGGCCCTACCAGGGCTGCAGCGCCAAGGCCGGCTTAGACCAGACGTGGTGCTACGTGCAGGGCGGTACCAAGCGCCGTGGATTACGAGAAGCAAATGCGGCTCCTTGCACGACGATGGCGACGACGATAGCGTTGTCGAGCTTGGGCTGCAGCG